GATTCGGCAGTGAACAAAAGACTAGAGCCCTTGCCGTCATGAGGTTTATCTTCTGTTAGGGTGAGGCAAGCAATTAAGGAATAAACTTACAGGGGAATCAGAGAACTAAAAGCACCACAGAACGCAAGCAAGGACAGGGGAGAGGGAGGGCGGAGTGTGGTCCTAAACATGTTCTAAAAACCTTGAAGGATGGGGCGCCTGGGTGGCTTAGTCGGTTAAGCGTCCGACTTTCGCTTAGGTCATGATCTCGCGGTTCGTGGGTTCGAGCCCCGCGTCGGGTTCTGTGCTGACTGCCAGCTCAGAGCCTGGAGCCTGTTTCAGTCTGTGACTCCCTCTCTCTGACCCTCCCCTGTTCACGCTGTCTCTCTCTCTCTCCTAGAAATAAATAAAACATAAAAAAAAAATAAAAAATAAAAATAAAAAATAAAAACCTTGAAGGAAATCTGAGAACAGCAAGTGCAAAGGCCCTGAGGCCCTGGCTGTGTTTGAAGCAAAGCAGGATGCCTGGGGTCCCTGAGCAGCGTGAACAAGGAAAAGAGTCACAGAAGTGAGGTCAGAGAGTATTGAGGGCAGGGTGGGGAGGCCCATTGTGAAGCCCCCGGCCTGTTACTCTGGGCAACAGGTGAAGCCTTTTGAGAGTTTTGCTTGACCTGATTTGCACCTTAAAATCATTCTCAGAAGTGAAGGACTATGGCTTCTTAATGATGGCTCTGCCCTTGCTTACTGCTCCATTGAGAGAAGTGTTGATACTTGTGTGTGTGTACAGGTGTGTGTGTGTACAGGTGTGTGTACACTTTAAAAAGATCAGCTGCAGAGGGAAATGGCTGGGTCTGGAAGCAAGAAGACAGGTGCAGTAATCCGTGCAAGAGACGGTGGTGGCTTCGACCAGGAGGTGAGGATGGAGGGTCAACTTCCACTGGGATGGCGGGTGGCTTGGAAGTGTGGTAGACCTTTCACAGGGGACTCCAGGCCTAAGCGACTGGAGGGACGGTCTGCATTCGCGGAGGTGGGGCCATCGGAGGCCCGTGGTTTGAAGCTGATGAGTCAGGAGAGAAGGACACACTTTCCTTTATGAAACTTGGATATTCTCTCTCGCTTGCGAGGACCGCTCTTCCCCAGAGCTGTCTTGGGGTCAGCCACACAGTTCCCTACTGCGTCGGTCATGCCGTGGAATCGTGGCCCGGCCACAGTAGAGGCCTGTTTCTCAGCCACCAACAACCTGAGCAGGGGCTACAGACTTACTGCCATGTTTCTAAACCAAGCTACACTAGTCTGATCATGTCAAGCGTATGACATTTTAATATCCGGCAGGTCAAAAGCCTCGTTGCTTGCCTTTCCCAAAAATGTGGCAATTCTCATATATCTATTTTCCCATATGAACTTTAATGTCTGTGTGTCTCATGATTCTCCCAAATATCCATTGAGGTGTTTATTTATTTTTTAAACATTCTTTTATTTTTACTCATTTTCGAGACAGAGGGAGACAGAGCATGAGCAGGGGAGGGTCAGAGAGAGAGGGAGACACAGAACCTGAAACAGGCTCCAGGCTCCGAGCTAGCTGTCAGCACGGAGCCCGACGCGGGCCTCGAACCCGCAAACCGTGAGATCACGACCTGAGCTGAAGTCGGACCCTCAACCAACTGAGCCCCCCAGGCGCCCCATCCATTGAGATGTTTATTAGCATTTTATTAACTTGTATTTATAATTTGAGAAAAATTTTTAAAATGGAGTCTTCATGTCTGAGCTCCCAATGCATGTCCCTTTGCTATTCCAGCCTTTCTGGCCCCTGCCCCCCATCTGTCTCTGTGTACATCTTATGCTTTCATATGAAATTTCTCCCAAGGTATTCAAGAGCTTGTCACTAACGTAAATGTGGGTTGTTTTCACAATACAATTTCTAATGAGTTATAATTACTGCCCCCAAAATGGTATTGCTTTTTTTGTATTTTTGGTTGAGTCCAGCCACTTTCCTCATTGTCTTGAGACTTTCTAGTTGTGTAGTCAGATCCACAAATAAGGTTGAATCTTGTTTTTCACCATGTATCCTGTTTATTTCATCTTCTTGTCTTATTTCAAAAGCTGAAGCCTCTAAATATGGGAACCATAGAGCTGACAGGGAGCACACCTATCTTGTTTCTGACTTTAATACTTTATCACCCATTTAATATGCTTGGAGATGGTATCTGGCTAATATTCTCATAGAGAGAGAGAGTATCACATGTAAGGTCTTTATTTTATTTCTGTGGGGTTTATCTGTTGTATTCTATTTTATACCATTTCTATCAGGAATAGCTGCTGAATTTTGTTAATGCCTTTTTGCCATTTGTCGGTATGTGCCCTAATGTAAAGAATTGAAAGATTTACTAATTCTTTAAATTTTTTTAATGTTTACTTTTGAGAGAGAGACAGACAGACAAACAGGGCAAGTGGGGGTGGAGCAGAGAAAGAGGGAGACAGAATCCGAAGCAGGCTCCAGGCTCCGAGCTGTCAGCACAGAGCCCCACGTAGGACTTGAACTCAAACTGCGAGATCATGGCCTGAGCCAAAGTCAGACTCTTAACTGACTGAGCCACCCAGTTATCCCCAGATTTGCTAATTCTTGAAGGATTCTTATACTCGGAATAAATCCCAGTTGATTTTCTATTTAAAAAAAAAAAAAAAAACACCAGTGCTAAGTATTTCTAATGGTCTTTTTAAAAATGTTTTAATATCTTCATATTAATGTCCATAACTTAGGTTGTTGTTTTTTTATTTCAAGTGTTTACCATATTTTGGTATTAGGGAGATATATAATGAGTTGGAATACTATGTATTCCTTTCCGTGTTCTGGAATAATTTGACTAGCATAAAAATTATCTATTGCCTAAAAGTGAGATTCAGCTTGCCCTTAAAATCAGCTAGGCTTGGCCCCTTTTTTTAATAATAGTTGGTAGAGGGAGGCAAACCATGAGAGGCTCTTGAATGCCGAGAACAAACTGAGGGCTGATGGGGGTGGGGAGAGGGGAAGGGCGGTGATGGGCATGGAGGAGGGCACTTGTAGGGATGAGCACTGGGTGCTATATGGAAACCAACTTGACAATAAACTACTTAAGAAAATAGACGGTAGATCTTTTAATAGCTTTTTCAGTTTCTTTTACGGTTACCTGTCTATTCAGACCTTTCGAATACTCAAGTTAAATTTAGTAATCTGTATTTTGCTTAAAAACGATTCCGTTTCCTCTGGAGCTAAAACCATATTAACCTAAGGTTGCATAATCCACTTTGTGAGAATTTTTCTGTACCTGTTGCTAGAAGAATAGAACGTCCCATTTGCTTTGTGTTTTAGCACTTTCAGAGGGCACTCCCGTGTACTGCCTCACCTTCCTTCTACCCCGACGGACCAGGAGACCCAGGCAAAGGGGGCTGGCGGCTTGCACGGGGCCACACGGGGTATCAGAGGGACAGTCAGCACGTCTAGCGCCTTCCCGTGCTACATTTGTCCACCCGTGTTCTTTCCAGCTGTGTCCACCTGGGGCCCGTCCTTCTCAGGGCACAAAAGAGCGACAAGTGTGCGGAAGGACCCTGAGCATGACTCTGCTTCCAGGGGAGGCTCCCTTTGCAATCTGAACACAACACCCCTTGGAACGTTTAGGGAAATAGCCATGTGCTTAGCTATGGGAGGTGCGCATATATTGCTGAAAATGAGACACGATCATTTGGGGGATTCATTGTGAAAATCTCGTAAAGGCCTTAGCAGAGCACTGTGCGCCGGAAGAGCTGCTACAGCTGACGGGCACGACGGGCTTTGATGGAGGCAGTGCACGTATCGCAGAGTCCACCCAGGTCCGGGGACAGCTCTCGCGTGTCCTCACCCATGGGTTCTCACGGAGCCCAGTGTCTCCTCCCATCCCTCAGCCTCACCCCTTCCTCAAACCCGAAGAGCGGGGCTGCTGGGGCAGGAGCCACAGGTCTGGTTGTGGGAGGCCTTTTCCTGAATGCAGCAAGTAGGTGGACGTGAGGACTGCCTCCCTGAGCACCGTCCCCTTGCAGGAGGCTCAGGACGCAGCTGCCCTGGGAGCCCTGGTCCCCCAAGCCTGGCTTCATTGTGAGCTCAGTCTGTCCTCCTGACTGGCCCCAGGCTGAACAGAGAGACCCTTGTCATCTCACTGTCTGCCGGTGGTCACTGAGCAACCTCCTTGTCTGCTGTTCCTGTTGACCCGCCTGTCCACCATCGTGGGCATCCGCGTGTGCAGAACGTGGGCTCTGGTCCTCCCCGGACCCTCCCCCCTGCTCCCCTTGCCCCAGCCCTCTTGCCAGGACATGAGCTTAAATGTACACTAAGAAGGTCCTCCTTGGCCCCTCTTTCCCCAGAGCCCGTTCCTCCTCCCTCCAGAAGGAGGTCCCTGAGCCCAGGCCGCCGCTCTCCCTTCCTCAGGCTCCCAGGCACCATGGACAGCGCCCTGACTTCCCGACACCCAGGCACGCTGCCCAGGGGGAGGTTTAGGATGCTAGGGATGAGACAGCCTGGTCCTCTGCCTGCCTCTGCCTCCCGACCCGACAAATTCTGCACTCGCCACGACTAAATCCCTGTGGGCCTTGAGAAGTCTGGGCCTTAAGGGAGCACTTAGCCAGCCGTGGTGCTGCAGCATCGTGTGGTAACGGCCATCAAAATCCACCTTAGAGATTCTGACCGCTGTAAATATATATCCACTACACTGATGTCTGGAATAAAAGCAGTCCAGATACGCACCCCCTATTCAGTCCCTTACCTCAGAGCAGACACTCGCTGTGTGTTTGTGAAATGGACCAGAAGACAGAGCGAGTGGGTGGGTGGATGAGAACAAAGGCCTGCCCTCCCCGGGGCCGACTCTGCCTGTCCGTGCCACCGACTTGCTTGTGCTCCCTCTTCCATGGCCAGTGAGCCCCGGCTTCCTCGTCAGCCAAGTCTGAACCTCTGGCTGGGGCCACGAGATGATTTATTATTTATCAGATGAATCAATCTTACTTTCTGCTTTGCCCAGGCTGCTGCCGAGTGGGCCGAGAAAATGCCCAAGGGCCCCCCACCCATGGCTCCCAAGGAGGCCGCACACCAGGAGCTCCTGGCTCAGGTCCACAAGGCGGTGGGCGCCCACTACAGCGCGATCGCTCAGGAGTTTGACAATTTCGACACCATGAAAACAAACACCACCTCCAGGGATGAATTCAGGGCTATCTGTGCCCGCCACGTGCAGGTGCTGACAGATGAGCAGGTAAGAAACGCGCTTGGTTTGTCATCCTAAGCAGTGTTCTGTGGGCCCAGGCCAGTCGTTCCCCAGGGCACGGAGAGTTTAGGCCTGTGTGCGATTTTGAAACACTTGAAGGTTCAGGGGGCAGGCGGCAGGGGGCGGGGGGAGGGGGATGTGTTATTGCTTTGTTTTCAATCTTATTGAAGGAGTTTTCTGTTTGACAAGTAAGACTTGCAACTTTTCGATTGGGGTGCCAATTATGTCACTTTTATTTTTTTTAAGTTTATTGAGAGAGAGAGAATGTGTGCAAGCAGGGGAGGAGCAGAGAGAGAGGGAGAGAAAGAGGGAGAGAGAGAATCCTAAGCAGGCTCTGCACTGTCAGCACAGAGCCCGATGTGGAGCTCGATCACACGAACCCTGAGATCATGACCTGGACCGAAATCAAGATTCGGATGCTTAACCGACTGAACCGCCCAAGTGCCCGGTCACTTTTATCTTTTATCTTTTTTTTATCTTTTAAATCAAATTAAACTCTCTCTCTTCCTCCCTTGGATAATCCCAGGGCTTGTGTCACCCAAAGAGACAGCCAGCCTCTCCCCACACCCGAACGGGGCAACTTTGAGCCCATGAGTTGCTCTGGACCTCCCACCACTATGCCTCCCCTCTCCCTACCTCTCCCTGCTTCTGTCACCAGCACTTCAGAGGCTCTGGGGATACCGCCCCAGCCAGGCACGCTGGTGACACACCCACCCCCTCTGAGGCCCTCCTGCCCATCACGGGACCCCAAGAGGAGATTCTCTGCGGCTTCCTCCTCAAACACTGAGTGGTGCTTTTATTTAGCTCTGCCAACCTGCTGTGCTGGGCTTCTTTGGCCCTTCGTGGCCTCCCAGGGCCTCCCAGGGCCGGCCAGATGGCATCTGGAGGATCTCCCTTGCGGTTTACTGATGTTGGTCGATGGTAACACTGAATGTGAGGGCCAGGGGACAGTTCCCTGGGTGGCTTGTTCCTCACTGTGGCCCAGACACCAGAGCAGAGCCCGGCACAGAGCAGGTGCTCAGCAAGTCCTGGTGAGTGGATAGCGTGGTGGGTTTAGTGTCCATGTTCTCCACTGCCGCCGTCCAGTGGCCGAGTGGGGTGACGCAGAGCCCCGCCGATCCAAGCATGGAAGCAGAGCTCCCTCCCCGACAGAAGATTCGCTGCTACAAGCCCTCCCCATGTGGCCAATAGGCCGGTGCCCTAGTGGAAACTGACATCCAAGACACTTCGGGGAGTTCTCCACCTCCCTCCTCCCTCATGCTCAGCCTGGGGAGCTTCCTGCAGCTTTTGGGTGGAAAGGTCACCCTCCTCTCCCAAGATGGGGCGCTCTACCCTCAGCCTCATTTTCTCAGGGTGCGCGGATAAGATCTAAGAGTGTTCACATGGAGGGGAGATGATCACGTTCGATGATGGACCTCATCAAATGGCCTCAGGACTCACCACCCTGAAGAATGAATTCATTATCATTAATAATTCGAGCAGCAGATTTCACTTTCCTAAAATATCACATTTTTAAAGCATTATGATCATTTTTGCTAAAGCCAAATTAAAGTGCTTTCCCCCAGTTCTGTCTTGTAGATCATCAAAACTGAGCAAGATCACTATTTGCAAATACTTGTCTCCATCACTATAAATGGATTGAAGCGTTTACAACTAATCTAGCTGCATTTATGATTCTGTGGGGCGAACTAAGGTTTTACTAATAAAGATTTTTCATTTCATCTAAATGAGTAAACTTTTACTCTAATTAGAGATATAAATTAATGACATGCTGGCATATCTGACATTTGTAACAGAGAATTAGATTTTAATTGTCCACTAAGAAAGCTTCACCATCCCCAGGACGTCCTACCCCCTACCTCTGCAACAAAATCAAATATTTTTTAAATGCTGCCTTCTAAAAAATACACAGACACGTCTCAAATATAGTCTGCATCACTGAGGACATCAAAGTCCGGCATAAGTACGATGGTTTAAGTTGGGTGATGATTAGCAAAAATTGTGTACTATCTGAGAAGGAAGCTTCTGGATACAGACTGGTAAACAGGAAGCAAAAGCCACGGAGATCCTTGTGATCTTGACCGTGACATTCTTGGTTCAATGGAATGATGTCTGGTACAGGGAGACACAGAAGTAGTTTGGCTCCTTAACCTGTCTGCACCCCAACTGCCACTACTCAGAAGGGTTCCCTGAAGATTCTGGAATAGTTCCAACCATGTTCACCAGCATCCGAGTATAGATCTCATGTCTTATAAAAACTATCTCGTCCTAAAAAAAAAAAAAACATCCCACCATCACAAATCTGAGAGGTCAGCTTTCTTGAATTACCGAGCTCTGCAAGCAGGGCCGTGCCACATCTTTTGACAACCTCCGGTGTAATTAACCTTTCAGAAAAGGACAGCGACTTTCTGAGCAGGTGGAGTTGGAAACCAGTGGCTCTTTGCCTGCAGAAGGCGTGTTATAAACACTGTGGGAACTGGGTCTGCTCCAATATTGCTTACGAAGATAGAGACTCATGGAGAGAGCCTCTCCTGGTCAGGCAGTTTGGATCAGTCTGGGCGGTGGTGTGAGGATTTAGCTATAGTTGCAGCTACGTTAGGGGAAGGAAGCATCAAGCATTCTGAACATTACAGGCGTGGTGGTTTTTTCTTTTTTTAGTATTTGTTTTTGAGAGAGAGAGAGAGAGAGAGAGAGAGAGAGAGACAGTGCTTGCAAGGGGGCAGAGACAGAGGAGACAGAGAATCCCAAGCAGGCTCTGTGCTGTCAGGGCAGAGCCCCACCTGGGGCTCTACCTGATCTCACAAACCACAAGATCATGACCTGAGCCGAAATCAAGAGTCAGGCGCTTAAGTGACCGAGTCCCCGCTCCAGGCGCCCCTCAGGTGTGGTGTTTCTTAAACAGACACCTCTGAACGACACGAAGAATGCAGGCAAAGAACCAGTAACCCTTCAGGCAGGTGGGCTGGGGTTTCCGTTCTGCTTCTGTGCTTGCCCAGCTGTGTGACCTTGCACAAGGGACACAACCCCTCTGAGCTTCATTGTCCTTCCCCGTGAAATGGGAGTGCACAACACTCCCCAGGCTCCGGATGCCTTCCCCTCCAGCCGGCTGTTCAGCCTCTCCTGCTCACTGCTGTCTCTCCCTGCCGCTGCCGCCTTGCGTCCAGCCACGCCAACCCCTGAAGGGACTCGCTGCAAGTCACTGAAGCCTTTCCTGAAGGCACGTGCGGCTTGCAGAACTGGCCACGCCCACTTTGGCCTCCCCGCCTCCACCCTGAGCTCAGATCCCCCAGCCTGGCTCAGCGGGCACGTTCTTCGGCACAAAGCTGTCTGTCTGCGAGGCACTGAGTGCCTGAAGGCGGCTCGCACCTGCTCGTTCACCTCTGGGGGGCCCTCTGTGCATGGTGCTGATGTTAGGCCCTGAGCAGCCGGGGGGTGGGGGGGGAGGGGGGCCAGCTCCCTGCCTCTGTTTCCACCTCAGTTATAGGTTGGAGCCTTGGCTCTCGTTACCCACCTCACACGGGGCATCCTGTCCCTGTTCCCGGGAGGGTGCCGCCCCCACTTCCTGTGTCTTACACTGGCTTCCGTGGGCCACACACCCACTGGCCTCTGGCGTCATGCCTCCGGTTCTACTCAGCCCCATTTCCCCGTTGTGCTTGAACAAGACAGTGCATTTTTATTTTTTTAGTTTTTAAAGTTTATTTTGAGAGAGAGAGAGAGAGAGAGAGAGAGCAAGTAGGGGAGGGAGAAAGAGAGAGAGGCTTCCAAGCAGGCTCAGCACCATCAGCGCAGAGCCTGACGCAGGGCTCGAACCCACGAACTGGGAGATCATGACCTGAGCCGAAGTCAGGTGCTTAACCGACTGAGCCCCCCGGGCGCCCCAGGATGTGCAGTTTTAAAAACTAGCTTCCACCTCTCTGCTTCCCCATCTGTTCACACGTTACATACTTTTTCTACTCGATCCACTGACATGTTAACCACAGTTGTTTTCAAGTGCTTGTCTGATGAGCCCACGAAGGGGGCCTCCTCTGAGTCCCCTTGGCAACGGGTCAGTTCATCTTTTGTTGGCACATCTCAGTTTCTTTTGTTTTTATCGAAAGCGAGACGTCATGTAAAGAAGAGTCGAGACAGAGATGTAAGTAGTATTCATGCTGAACATGGCCTCACCTCTTCTGTCCACCCGTGAACGTGGGGGCGTTACGGAGTCAATCTGGTCGGCATTTGAGCTGCGTTCGAGTGTTACCGTTGCTGCCCTCACCCCGGGGGTGCACGGTGCCCAGGCTTCAGACCCTCCAGCAGGAGGCGGCCGTTACTGGTGTTGGGTGTGGGCCCAGGGATGCCAGGGCGCTGCTGAGTATTCCACCTGCACATCTGGCCACAGGACAGCGTCCCCCGTGCTCAGGGCCAGGCTTACGCAGGGCGGCACTGTCTTGGCATTCCTGGGCCAGCCTGGATTAGGCAGGGGTGACACCCTCTCCACATTCCTGCCCCTCCCCACCCCCTTCTGCAGGCGGTCACACTCTCCACGGTGGGTGGGTCTTAGGCTGGGAGGTGGTAGCTGACCTCTGACCTTTGCTTTGTAGAGTGCAGATCCGGGTCGCTGCCCCTCCACCAGGAGCACTGGGCTGTACCCTTCCCCCTGGAGCCATGGATCTGTGGCTGGTTCCTACCCACCTAGAGACAGAAGGGTTGGCTTCCTTCCCTCCCCCCGGGGGTCCTGGTCTTGAGTGGGTTTGCTACGCCTCCTGCAGTGGCTTAAGACTTTCTTTCTCATAAGAGGAGGGTCTGGAAAAGCCTGTCCCCTCCTGTGTTTCTCTCTCCGGGGCAGCAGCAAGAGGGGGGTGGAGGGGAGCGTGTGAGCGCGAGCATTCCGGGTCTGGCCTCCCGGTCACCCCTGCCTCACACGCCAGCACACGCTCGGCCTGGAATGTGTTAGCTGACTTCCTCCCGAGTGTGGCCAGGCCTGAGAGCTGGCATGTCTGGCTGCCCTTGCAGACTTGGGGCTCCGCGGCATCCAGCCGCCTTGGCGCCCTGGGACCCCAGCTCTCTGATGGGCTCTAACAGAGCTCTGATTTTGTGTTTAAGTTTGTTTATTACCAGGGGGGCAGAGAGAGGGAGAGAGAGAATCCCAAGCAGGCGCCACACTGTCAGCACAGAACCCAACATAGGGCACGAACCCACAAACGTAAGATCATGACCTGAGCCAAAACCAAGCATCAGATGCTTAACCAGCTGAGCTCCCCGGGCGCCCCAACACTTCCAACTCTGTAGATACCCGGCCTTCTCTTGCTGGTAGGATGGGAGTGGCGTGAGGCAGCTTGCCACACTGCAGAAGTGGAACCCAAAGTCGGAGATGTGTAGGTGCTCAGAAGGTAGTGGCTGCTTCTCTGCATCTGAAGGGGACGTTTCATGAATGCACCTTCCGCCAGGACGTGGAAACTTAATCGCTTTCAACTCGCTCACAAACCACCAGAGTTTTGCCTGGGTTTCATGCCCGGCCCACAGGCCAGAAGCCACTTGTGTGGTGCCCGTTTCCAGGCTTCTGGATGCCTCTCCCGTCCCCACAGCCCCACCGGCCTCATCCTATGCTGGTCTGTAGGCTCCGGCGGTGTTCCAGGGTGCCATCTGGCAGGACCGAGAGGCCGCGTGTGGGCTTCCACTTCCCTCCCCCTTCCATGTCCCCCTGGCACTTTCATTCTGCCCTTCATGGCGAGGCTTCTTGAGTGAAGAGAGGATTTCCAGGGTCCCTCCTGGACTTCATTTGCGCCACAAGATTTAATCAGGTGTTGGTCAGTCTCGCCCCATCTGCCAGGACAGGAGTCACCGTCGTCGTCCTTAGTGGTCTCATAAATGCCCTCACTCCCATGCTCCAGGTTTCCTTTGCATCCTTAACATTCGCACCCTTATTTGTATCTACCCTTGATAACATGGCCTTCCTCCTCCTTCCTCCCCACTTCCTCTTATAGGCCGCACCCGGCTCTGCCTCCGTAGAGCCCTTCACGGCAGATGTGATTCCAATATGGCCCAGTACCCGCTGTCCCTCTTTATTTGTAAAGGGTCTTGCTGTTGTCTGATCAGTCTCAGGTGGGGTTTTTAGAGCTTTTTAGTTGAGCAGACACTTCCAGAGCACCTGCCGTGTGCCGGCCCCCTCGGGAGGTGTTCAGCATCTCAGGATGAATCTCAGACGCCCTTCCGAGAGCTGCGGGACCAGGCAGGTTGGTTTCACAAGGTGGGAAGGTAGAGACAGCTCCAGACATGTGCTCCGGGGGTTGGGAGAACTTCCCTGGAGGGAGACAAGTGTCAGGACGGCCGCCCCTGGGGATGGCGAGGTCTGTCTGGGACCACATGGTCACTTTCCCGAGGTCTCTCGCCTCCACTCCACCGACTAGTTTTACCCCATTGATCACAAGTAAAGCAATGCGCATCTACGTACGTTACGAATGACGTTAAACCGTATGCACACGGCACCATCCACTCCCTGGTTTTGAAGCTGTTCCCGAAAACATAACCTGGGGGGACGGTACCAGGGCCCTCTCTGTGCCCTCCTTGCAACTTCCTGTGAATCCACAATTCTTTGAAATAAAAAGTTTAAAACATGAATCAAGAATATTGTCCCAAACTAAACCTTCTTTCCCTTCTCAGGGCCTAGAACATTCTTCTTCTCTTCCCCACCCCCCAGTACTTTGTTTCTGGAATTTCAAACAGAACCGGTACAGTCTCTCATAATTTGCCTTTCGGAAACCCCAGCGGAGGCCAGAAGTGACGCTGGCCTCAGGTCAAGGCCAGGCCTTCGGGACGGAGGGGAACGCGACTCCCTTGTGGGTGCTGGAGGCTGGGGCCCCCTGGGTTCTGAATAAGTGACCCCTCTTCTCAGCGCCCCGAAAGCCCTCAGTCATCCGAAGCGGCCCACTTAGGATGCTGGGGTTATTTTGCTCTACCCGTGTGGCTCCGACACAGCCTGTGATGTCAGACGGTACCAGCCCAAAGCCGTACACCTCTCTCTGCTTTCCCAGAAGCCTCCCTTTCCAGCTCGTAAGAGCACAAGGCTGGCCCTTCAGGGACGCACACCCTGGCCGTGACCACAGCGGCTGAGGGTAAGGTGCCTGGCCAGCTGTTGGGTCAGGCGCCCGCAAGGAGAAGAAATGAGTCCGGCCGGGCTTCCCCGGGACCAAGGAGGGCCAGGGCTCTGATTTGCATTTTCTCCCCAAGTGTTCTCGGAGACTGCAGCTCAGTCTCTGTGACTAATCACAACATTTAATGGCGTTCAATGGCTCACTGAAGGCCCAATTCAATTAAAAAATGTCCTGCAGAAGCCGTGAATAATCCTCGTCTTTTCTTTTCCTGTCTTACGGAAGCCTCCATGCAGTGGAAGCCGAGCGGGGTTTTTTTCTTTTTCTTTTTCTATTTTCATTGCTGTGGGCTTCGGCCCCTGCCAACGTGAGCGCTGGCCGCCACCGGCTTGCGTCCACTCCCACCGGCTCCACGGGGGACCCCGCCACGGTTTTACACTGACCCTGGGGAACGACTTCTGCTTCTTTGTCAGTTTGACAGGCTGTGGAGCGAGATGCCAGTCAACGCCAAGGGGAGGCTCAAGTATCTGGACTTCCTGAGCATGTTCAGCTCCGACAGAGGGGCCACACCGCCAGCCTCGGGCGGGTCGGCCAAGGCCCAGAGAGGCAGCAGTGTTCCGGAAGTCTCGGAGAGAAGCAGGTCCGAAGTTTCATCATCGCCCGCTCACGACCTCAGAGCAGGGCTGAAAACGCGGAGCCACCCCTGTGTGAGTCTCCAAGAAGGTGCCACAGGGCGGGCCTGGGGTGGGGGCACAGGAGAGGAGCCCAAGGTGGGTCCTTAGCGTTCGCCTGCCTGGAGGGGGCAGGTTGGTGTGGGGAAGGGTTGGGGGAGGGTCGGGTGGAAGGAGGGATAAGGAGGATTTGGGGCAGGAAATGGGGACAGGAGCGGGGACAGAAGACTCGATGTCAGCAAGCTGGGCATTCATCGGGCAGGAAGGCAAACGCCCCATGGCAGACAGGGTCCCTAGCGTGTGCCCAACTGCAAGGTGTTGTCACACCCATTTTACGGTTGAAGATACAGTTGAACTAATATCTAACAGGTGTCCCGATGTGCTCAGGGTCCCTCTGTTAGACACGGAGAGACCCGATTTCCAACCCAGGCCTGTCTAACTTCGCGGCCCTGGCCCTGGGCTGAGCTGCCCGGCCTGGGTCACAGGAAGGGGAGGGGCAGCCTCACCAGGCTCTCGTGTCGTCTGCAAGAGGGGTGGGAGCACCCCCCCGAGGAAGGTGGTTGAGAGGATCCTGACCATGTGCATGATTTATTGCACACCCACTATGTGCTGGGTCCTTCCTAGAGTGAAGCATGAACAGAGGTGCCTGCCCTTGGGGAGTTTGCATTCTTGTCGGGGATGATGGGCAAGTAAAGTAGTCAGCAAGTTGAAGATATTGAGTAGAGCAGAGTGAAGGGGGGGGTCAGGAGTACCCCAAAGATGTCCATGTCCTAATCTCTGGGACCTGTAATATGTCACCTCATATGGCACGGGGTTGGGGGGTGGATCAAGGTTGCAGGTAAAATTAAAGTGTAACCAGCCGACTTGACCTGGGCTTATCCTCAAGTGTCGAGTGGGCCCGAGGCAACCACAAGGGTCTGTAAATAGGGGGGACGCAGAGGCAGAAAGGTCAGAGTTGGACAGATGCCATTTGAGGCCACTATTGCTACTGACTTGGAAGGTGCAGGAAGGGGCCACAGGCTCAGGAGTGTGGGCACCTCTCGATGCCAGAAAAGGTAAGAAACAGGTCCTCTCTTAGAGTCTCGGAAGGACCACGGTCCTTGGTTTTAGCAGTAGGGCCCCCACCTCAGCCTTCTCGCCCCCAGAGCAGTCAGAGGGTAGCTGTGCTGTCATGAGCCAGCAAGGCTGTAGATCTGTCAGGGCCGCCACAGGAAACATGCTGGTGGGGGACGGGCGGGCGGTGGGGGAGGGCTCTGGCCTTCACTCCCAGGGACGGAGTCCCTGCAGTGTATAAACAAGGGAGTGACATGGGCGGCAGCGTCTTTAAAAAGCCTCCCGTGGATTCTGTGTGTTACACAGAGGCTGTGGGTAGGGTGGGTGCTGGAGGGGCGACAGAAGCCAGGAGGTGGGGGGAGGCCCCAGGGATCCAGGGCAGAGGCCTGGTGGCTCTGAGCAGGGTGGGCAGTGGGGAGCCGGTGGCCCGCAGTCAGGTAGAGCCCACAGGATTTCCCAGCGGATTAGGTGTGGGGGTCGGGGTCGGGGGGCGAGTCCAGGACAGCTCCTAACGGTTTGACCTGAACTCCGGAGAGAAGAGCGTTACATCGACCCAGATGGGGAAGGCTCAGGCAGCACAGGATTTGGGAGAAAGGCCAGGAATTCCATGGAGTCTGTTCCTATATTAGACTTTTTAAAAATGTTTATTTAATTTTTGAGAGAGAGAGAAAGAGAGAGAAGACCCAAAGCAGGCTTTGCACTGACAGCAGACAGCCCGTTGTGGGGCTCAAACTCACGACCTGAACCTAAGTCGGACGCTTAACTGACTAAGCCACCCAGGCGCCCCAAGTTCATTACTCTGTTAGATAACCCTAGGATGTGTTCAGGGGAAATTCCTGGGCTACAATCAATTCATTCCCCATATTTAAATGGAAGATGCAATAATATAAACAGCCTCATACTTGGGCCACATGATTTCACAATATAGCACATTCTGGAAGGGAGAACAGGATTAGATGCCCATAAATGACAGGTGACTCCCTCTCTTTGGTAAGACTCTTCCTCTGATGAAAAATTGTCACTACACACACACACACACACACACACACACCAGTAATTAATATATTTAAATAATTTCTCCCTATACTTGGCTATATGTACATTTCTAAACTATGTTGGTTACTGTCTGTTGGCACAAACACAGCTCCCGCTGATGGAAAGAAAAGTTAAATGGCAGAATTACCATGTACGCTTTGCTTTTCCCTTATTTCTGAGCTAATCCTGCCGGTGAAACTGTGAACCCCAACCCGAGTCCTGTCTGGAATGGTTCGTATCATTACTTCCGTTTGGAGTCTTGCGCTGCAAGATCACTTCCTTCTCTCTCTCGCCAGACCCCAGGCAGCAGAGACACAGCCCCGGACACCCTGCCCTTGCAGAACTGTGAGCCCATAGAGAGCAAGCTCCGGAAGAAACTTCAGGGCTGCTGGCGGGAGTTCCTGAAGGAATGCAAAGAGAAGGACGTGGCCAAGCAGGGGGACATCGCCACGGCCGAGTTCCTGGGTGCGTTGTCATACTGGGGCCGCCTGCCGGCACAAATCCGCAGGGAACGGGCGGGCTCCCCAGCACCTCTGTGACCGCCAGGCCTGCGGGATAAAAAATAGTTACAAACAGAGAGGGAGGGACGCAAACCCAAACAAATACAGAGAACAGACAGAGGGTGGGTGGGGGGTGGGGTGGGGGGGAGGGGAGAATGGGTGATGGGCGCTGAGGAGGGCACTTGTTGGGCTGAGCACTGGGTGTCCTAGGAAGCGATGAACCACGGGAATCTCCCCCCAAAACCAAGGGCACACTGTGTACACTGCATGGTAGCCAACTTGGCAATAAATTACATTTAACAAAAGAAAAAGAATCTCTAACGCCTCTCGACCTGCTCAGGGCACCTTCACCCCCGCGGGACCAAGGCAGAAGCCGGGACTCTCCACGTCAGAAGTCACAGACTTGGCTGTGGGCTCTAGTAACAGACTTGGGGAGCCCCAGGCTGGGACAGGGGAGGGGACGGTGGCTGGGGACTCGCAGGCCCACACCCCATCCCCTCTGCCCACTGACCGGTTCTCACCACATGTCACTTGAATAAGCTGTTCAAGTGCCATCAGTTGGATTTATACTTGCGCTGATGGTTATGTCCTGTCTTGCGTATGCAACATTTCACATGACAGGGAGGTCAGTGTGACCTTGTCACCACCACCCCCGCCCCGCCTGGTGGCCCCAGCGGTCGGCCCCCCTCCTCTTGCCTAATCTTTACATCCCTTTTTAAAGGGAACCTCCAATATTAATATAAATCCCCTTTATGACAATCATGGCTTCCCAATGTGCAAACAAAACAAAGTGTAAACTCTCTTAAGTGAACAGCTCCTACGAAAAGTAGCCCCTTATAAATGAAATATAAAATACAAAGTCACCGATAATCAAACGTTGCTCCACTGAGTTAACGTGACCTGTTTGGCTGAAACCAAATCGGCGATGTTGGCTTCCGTGCACATTCGATTTCCACTTGTGTTTTGGTTAATCCTCTTGACTCTGAGACTGACAGACCTTAGCTGGTCCTGCCGGCAGCATGGCACCGTGTTTAGTGTTTAACCGTGAACCCATCGAAGCCACCAACTCTTACTCTGCTCAGCCAGTGAGACTGGGGTAGTCCATCCGAAATTCAATTCTGTAAAAAGATACACTTGTTAACTCTCAGAAGTCATTCTGTATTCTCTGTGCCCGGCTGCCGACCTCCTGCAGCTTGGAGTGTCAAGGGCATTTTCAGGCCACTCCGCGGGCCCCCCAGCCCAGCCCACCCTGCCCGGCGTACGCTGGTGGCACCTCCTTCTCCCGTTTCCCCGGTGCCAAGGCAGATTACCTTCGTCTGCCCATCGCACACAGCAGCATCTTAACGGCCTGCGCAGGCTGGAAGGCATCACTTACACAAAGTCTGCTTCCTGGGCTTTTCCCCCTCGGCCTCAACAATAACCGAATATCCCACTCCGCGGAATTCCACTTTGCCGCTTTTACGATGTCAGTGGAAGTCTGAGATTCTTTGATTTAAACTGAAATCTTCTCCCTAAGTCTTTTTCCATTAAGAGTCGTTGCCCCAAAAGAAGTTTTAGCTTCATAACTGGTAAAGGAGTGAATGCGAGTGCAGTGCAGGGTGGGGGTGAACGCTGATAAGCCCTGACTCTGACGCGGGCCCCCGCCATCTGCAGCCCCGGGGGCTCCAGCCTGGCATCGACGGGATCCTAACGGGAAAGCCACGCTCACACCTGTTTCTTGAGGGTGGTGCAGGTTTTCTACGTTTTAGGTCGCCATTGGAATGAAAACTCGATATGTAAATTCCTGCCGTCTAGCAAACTCTCGAGGCTTGAGAAATACCTGGTCAGGGAGCCACACCCGAGCCCCCGCCCCACCGCTGGGCGCCTGCCAGGCCCACACCCCTGCAGGCAGAAACTCCCCTTCTCCCCATGGCCCCAGCCCTGCCCCGACTCTGAGGCTCTGCTCTGGCCACTCCCCGCCTTGTATGAGGAGCTCCTCTCCTGGCCCCACTCTGTCCCCCCGGCCTCCTCACCGCGCCCCCCACGGGGCTCTGTCCCTTCTGCCTGGACCACAGCAGCCGTGGCTGCAAAACCAGAAGAGCAGGCAAACACCCGGCCGGTGGGGGCCCAGCAGGAAGCGGGCCCCCCTCCCTCCCCAGCGCGCTCAGTTCGCTGTGCGCCTGTCTGCTCCCATCTCTGTCCGGCCACCCGGCATGAGCCTGTGAGCAAGGAGCCACACCGGGGCCTGTGGCAGGGACAGCTCCCCCACAAGAGGCGCACGAGCGCGTGCATGAACAAATAAACAAGTGTTTGCCACCAGCTGAACTGGCGTTTTTGTCTTTAGCCCTCGTGGAGAAGTTCACTCTGGACATCAGCGGAGAGGAGAGTCAGCAGCTTGCCGTGAAGTATGACTTAAAGAACAACGGGAGGTTTGCTTATTGTGACTTCATCCAGAGCTGCGTCCTCCTGCTGAAAGCCAAGAAAACCTCGCTGATGCAGAGGATGCAAATTCAGAACGCACACAAGATGGTATGTAGACTCACTCTCAGAACCCATGCAGGTCTGGGCCGTTCCTCTGTCTCAGTTCGTCCTCAGTCCGTGGAAATGGCGGACACGGGGTGCCTGGGCCACTCAGTCGGTTAAGTGTCTGACCCTGGATTTCGGCTCAGGTCATGATCTCACACAGTTCGTGAGTTCGAGCCCCACCTGGGGCTCTGCGCCGACAGGAGCCTGCTTGGGATTCTCCCTCGATCCCGCTCTCTGCCACTACTGCCCTCCTCAAAATAAATAAACATTTAAAAAAAATTTTTTTTAATTTTTTTTTAAATGTTTATTTATTTTGGAAAGAAACAGCGTGAGCAGGGGGGAGGCAGAGAGACAGGGAGACACAGAATCTGAAGCAGCTCCAGGCTCTGCATTGCCAGCACAGAGCCTAACACGGGGCTTGAACCCACGAACCGTGAGATCATGACCTGAGCTGAAGTCGGACGCTTAACCGACTGAGCCACCCAGGCATACTCTTTTTTTTTTTTTTTTAATTTTTTAAAATGTTTATTAAACTTATAAGAAAATTTTTATAAAAGAAAAGGTGGATGCCGTGGACACAGAGACTCCAGGAGGGGCTGCTGGCCAGTGAGGACCCACATGTCAGATGTCCCCGGCCTCACTGCCACCTCCACGTGGACGCAGAAATTGGCTGAGATCTCCTCTATACACATATATATGTATATCGCATGTGTGTGATAGATATAATATGCGTCTATCACAGGGGTATGATATACACAGATGATATGCATGCAACTCACATGAGACGTGCGTGTGCACATATGCTATATGCGTCTAGCACACAGGATGTGTGTGTGCACATGTAATATGTGTGTGTGTGATGCTTCTGTGGCCTGAGTTTGCACACACATAAGGCGCGTGTATCTCCACTCGTCGCCTCCATCACTTAAAGGCCTGTGCAGCACCGGCCACTTTGCGGTGAGCACGTGACCACCAGGGTCTGCCCGGCCAGGGAGCTTGTCACTGAGGTCAGGCTTCGAGAACCTTGCAAGCAGCTCAGAATTTTTCTTTCTTGGAAATGATTCAGAGATTTTCTTTCTCTCCTTCTGGAGCCCTGCACAGGCCTGGAGACCCAAGGCTGGGAACCTGTAACCCGGATCTCAGGTCCTCAGACTCCCCGGGGTGGCAGACGCCCAATCACGGGGGCTCTTCCCCCCGGCACCTTGAACATCTGTAGGGCAAACAGTCAGGAACGGCACGGCTGCTCGTACAATGCACAGGGAACAGTGATCGGTCAGTTAACTGAGAAGGGGAAGCTGCGGGGGGAGCGGGGGGGAGGGAGGGTCACAGCAAAGTGACACATTTTTAACTGAAACACCAAAGTGTATTCATTCATCCACCATCTGAAGCAGGCAAGACCCTTTCCTCCCGTGCACGGTGGTAGAGGTTGGAGACTCATTATCTTTCCGTGTAAGCTGCACCCACGATGCACTGCCTGTAGTTTTTTTGTTTGTTTGTTTTTTAAGAGGAATGAGAACCTAAAGATGCTTAAATAGCAGTTGGAGGATTTTCGCCATTGTCCTCAATGATTTGTAAATTCTGTGGCTCTCACCCACACAGTCCAGCCAGAGTCTTCACGGACTCACCTCTCCGGTCTTTCCAAACCATGAAAGAAAAAAAAAACAACCCTTTTTCCCGCTCATATTCCATCATCTGTAATATCAAATTACATTATGCCCAGTTAAAGAACGGGTCAAGTCCAGCTGGCATTGCCGCTGTGGGAACAAACAGCTGACCAGAGCCCCCTGCGGACCCTGCGGCAGGGACCAGGGTGGGGGCGGACCCGGCCGGCCCTCGCCGGTCCCCGCCCGTGCCCGGCAGCAGCAGGGTCCTCACGGGTCGGCCCAGCAAACAGAGTTGACCCCTTGCGGAAAGTTTCTATGCAGCTACGTTTGTAGGTAGTTTTGTGCAAAATCAGGTGAAGAAACACTTAAAATTGAGACACTTGTTTTTCTCAGCTCAGTTCTTCCGTGAGCAGAGAAAGGGCTGTCGTCCTTAGATCGTCGTGGGGCCCGAGCACAGGTGCAGGATGACAGAGGCCACGCAGCCTGGCAGGTCCCTGCCGGCTCTGGCCTTCCTCTGCCTCCCCGGGCCTCAGTTTCCCCTTCTGGAAATGAGGGGGGGAGCCTCTGGGTTCTAAGGCCTGCGAAGGGCGAGCCCTTCTGAGCCCTGCCCTGTACGGAGACACTGCCTCCAGACGCACCAGCCCCTCCCCACCGAGGTGCCGGGAGCTCCAGGCTCCGGAGTGTCAGACTGAGATTTGGCTGGTGAAGCGACAGGTGCTCCAGGACGGCCCCCCTGGGAGCCGGGCCCCTGGGCAGATGTCCCCGCGCAGGTCCCGCGTGTCCACCCCGCCCCCAGCTCCGCTCTTCACACCCAGATGGGCCACAGCTGCCACTCCGTGGTTCAGAAAGGGCCCTGCCTCTGTCCCGCCCTCTGTCTGCGTGTGAGGGGCGGCGGGAGACTTCTCCCCAGCGGCCTTTCCTAGGAAAGAGCGGGGCCAGCCCTGCCCAGCCCAGTGCCTCGCTCCTGTCCCGTCCCCCCTGCAGGCTGCCCAGGCCCCCGCCGCACAATAAGGCGCTCAGGCCAGCGGAGGCACCCCTCTGGGGGAGGCCCCTGGGACTCGGCTTGGGGCCCACGCCGGGGCTGGCGGCAGAGGCCTTCCGGGGGGATGGGCTGTACTGAGCAAGGATGCGCCTTCCTCGGATCGGCACGGGTGTGGGAGGAGCAAACGCAGCACCCGTTCTTTTTCTAGAACAGATCAGCAGATTGGGTAAATTGGCAGCTAATTGAAAGCTATAGGGTATCTGGTGAGTTTCCATCATAGGTGCTAAATGATGTAAAAATTGAAAGCAATTTAACTTTGCACTAATTGGTTTTCTGTGATGCCATGTTAAAATTAAACTTTCCCAAAATGCGTTACACATTATTGCCTACAGTTCACCTCTGTGATATTCAGACATGCGTTAGGGCTAAATCACACTAAAATATCTTGTTTTCTATCTAATAGCACCTAAATGAAATAATCGCAGGGTAGTGTACTATCTAATTACAAGATATAATTACAACCTTGTAATTTTTTTTAAAAACTCTGTTCATTATAATAACCTACTAGGAGACCCAGTCTGAAATCTCTTTTTCCTTCTAACTATTTCAAACTCGGCCCGCTGTCTCCGTCTGGCCCTGCCTCTCCTTCATCCCCTGGGAGCCCAGACCAGTCCAGATCCTCCCACCTCACATTCCCGAGTGAGGCTTCCCAGTCCAGGAGATGCCGGGGGTCGAGGGAGGGACCTTCCTCCTGGGGCCGGAGGAGGTGGGGGTGGGGTGGGGGCTGGGGGTGACTGGTGCAAACAGCAGGGTTAGTGATCTGCCATTACTGTCGTGAGTCCGGCCTGCGGGCCCCGTTCTAGACAGGAGTGGGGTGGGGGGAGCCCAAGGTAGGGGTGAGCAGGGGCAAAAGTAGGCCTGAGGCCGCGGGGCGGTGCCTGTCTACCCCATGCTGCCCATTCCGACCCTCCTCTCTCAGCTCCCCCTTGGTTTTTGTGGGTTTTTTCTCCCCCAGAAAGAAGCTGGACCTGAGACTTCTGCCTTTTACTCGGCTTTACTGCGGATTCAGCCCAAAATTGTGCACTGCTGGAGGCCGATGCGACGCACCTTCAAAGCCTATGATGAGGGCGAGACCGGGCTCCTAAGCGTGTCTGACTTCCGGAAGGTGAGCTCAGCTCTTGGGCGTCTCTTGCGTCTGGACGGGGAGCGTGGCCCAACGCCAGTGGCGGGAAGACCCCAGACGAGGACCCCTCCCCCCGCCAGCGAAGGCCCGGTGTGGGCGGCTGTCCGGGACCTCACTTCCTCGGGGCCCAAGTTATCAAGGGCTGAGTCCACCTGCGCCCACCTGCAGACCCCAGGTTCTCCTCCCTGAAGGTTTCTAGAACCCTGTGGGGACACGAGCAGAGGCCTCGGGTCACCACTCCATGTTCCCCTGCTTCTCGGAGGCCAGACTGGTTCCATGGGGGGCCCGGGTCCGCCCACGAGACCCACCGAGCAGGAGAGCCACGTGGAGGCAGGGCCCCCGCTGAGGCCCCAGAGCCCTGCACCCCCCGCGGGTGGTGCTCCTCTGCCCTCTGAGCTCTGGTGGCTTTGACGCGCCCGCGAGAACGCGCAGCACTCTGGGGGCACAAGGGGGCGCCCCTCGCCGTGGGCAGGCAGGTGCCCGCAGGCCCGCAGCCGCCCCTCCAGAGCTGGCAGGGTTTGCAAGCTCTCTGCCCCGCCTTGTGCGAACGCACCGACCGGCCTCACCACCGTGCAGGGAGGCAACGGTTATTAACCTCCGGTTCTGGGAGGGCTGGCGGGGAGAACCAGCACCTTCCACTGGACCGGAAGAGCCTTCCATTGTCACACCCACGGTCCTTGGCGGGCGAGGGCAGAGGAGAGAGGCGGCGGGAGGGGAGGAGGGAGGAGGGAAGAGGGAGGGAGGGAGGAGAGGGAGGGGCATGTGCGCTGAGGGAGAGGGCTGCTTGGGGCGGTCAGGCTCAGCGGAGAGGGGGCACGTCCCGGCCCCACCCTGGCCGCCGCCTCCTCGAGTGTCAGTGTCACCTGTCACCCACACGAGCGGCCTCCTGTCTGGCAGGTCCTGAGACAGTACAGCATCAACCTCTCGGAGGAGGAGTTCTTCCACATCCTGGAGTATTACGACAAGACGCTGTCTTCCAGAATCTCCTACAATGACTTCCTGCGGGCCTTCCTGCAGTAGGCGGCCGCCACGCTGCCTCCAGCGCGGACGGGCAGGGACCACGGGCCTGTCCCTAAGACTAGAGAAATCACAGAACTGGGAGGGGGTCTCCAGAAACACACGCAGCCCTGTGTCTTTCCCGGCGGTTAAGGCTCCGTGCTGGCCCACGGCTGCAGCGTAAGGCACGGCTCTGCCTGTGGCCTCGGGCCGCCCCCACGGAGCCACGGGACCCTTCAGTCACTTGGAACAAATAAAATGTTAGTCTTTGCAGAAATGATTCTCAAGACTTCAAAAGACCCACCAGGGATAAAATACGTAGAAACTTAGATTTCTGGAGGTTGCCGGGAGGGTGAGGGGAAGAGGGGGGCCTTCCTCCTCCCGGATCGGATCTGTGTCTCTGTTGGGCTGGTCCCCACGGCCGTCGCTCTGTCTCTAGAGACACGGGCGCCAGCCCGACCTCATGGTAGAGCCGCCCACATTGTCCAAGGCCTCACCCCTGCTCAGCCCTCCCAGGGCCCCGCCCAGCTTGCGGCACCCACCAGTGACCTTGACGGGTCCCACATGCCAAGAGAACTCTCCAATCCCTGAAACCCCACCACCTTTTGTGAAGCAAACAGAAGAGAGACATAGAGTCTGCTGCCTTCTGGAAGGTTCTGGAAGGAACTCTCCAATCCCCGAAACCCTACCACCTTTTGTGAAGCAAACAGAAGAGACATAGAGTTTGCTGCCTTCTGGAAGGTTCTGGAAGGAACCGGGAGAAGGCAGACGGGATAGCTGCCCCTCCCCCAGTTGTGTGGCCCCTGGCCGCCAGGGAGGGGTAGAGCAAGGAGCCCCCGCTGTCACCCCACCCCAGGTGCCTCCAGAGGGGAAGGAGAGCCAAAGCCTCTGCGGCGAGACCCCTCCCCACCCATGGAGGCCTGCAATTCGAAGTGCGCAGAATTCCGAGGGGGAGGAGGGGGAGGAGGAGGGGGCTCCAGGCACCCTGGGGAAGTGGAGAGGTGTGGGGAGGGGAGCCGCGCCCACCACAGGCCCTCTCTTTCCGTGAAGATGTTTCACGGACACCTCGGTCTCCCCGTGTGCTGGGTCCCAGGCTCAGCTCAGACAGGACCCCCAGGCCGAGAGGGTGGGTGGGCTCTCGCGGAGGCTGCCCCGTCAGCCCGGAGCCAGGGGGAGGCCCCTCTGCCAGATGCTCGCCTTGGGGACTGTCACAGCCCAGGAGCGCCGGCTCTGCTCCGGCCCAGCCTCAGGTAGCCCTGGATCCCCAGGCCCCATGGGACTGGAGGTGGGGAAGCTTCTCTCAGCTTCTCTGCATTTTTCTCTCTCATCGACCTAAACGGGTGCGGCTGTGGGAATTTGCTTTCGGCCAGACCGTGTGGGTGCGAGGACCTCGCCGAGACAGGGGCCTGAAGAAACACACCTGAGGGAGGGGCCCGGGGCCCGGCTGGCGGCCTTGGATTCTGCCCCCACTTTCCTGTGGTCTCCGCCCACTTCCCAGGAGGGAGGGGCGTGGCTCACTGTCCTGCGGGCACTCTGACCCCTTGGCCGCACCTGCTGGCAAGATGGAGTCCCACCCCCATCGGAGGGATGGCAGCACTGAGGCCGGTGCTGAGAGAGGCAGGAAAGCCCCGTGGGAGGCGAGGGCAGCAGCAGGTTGGCCCCGGGGAGTGGGACGCCCCCAGCCTGGCAAGGGGGCATTGAGGATGAGGCTACGGGGGCTCTGGCCAGGGCAGGGCTGGGGGCCCCCAAGATCCCAGAGGAATCTCAGGGGGGAAGGTGCCTGCTGCAGGGGAGGGGGGGTCAGGCCGCCTGGGCGCAGGGAGCCGGAGAGAGGGCCAGTGGCCGTCATGTCGCAGGGATGACCCTGGTCCCCGCAGCAATTCCTCGGAGTGACGGTGGGTGGACCCCCCTCCTGTGGGCCCCGCCTCTGTGCCCGGCCGCAGCCGTCCCCCCGCGGGCTCGCCCACACCCTCACACTCCACACCTGCTGTTTCCCCCAGCTGCTCCTCAGGAAACACCAACTCGTCTTTCAGAACTCACCTCGCAGCCCCCTCTTGCAGGAAGCCTTCCTGGCCTCCCAAGGCTGAGTCAGACATTTAGTCTGCTGTTCAGAGGCCTCGTGGGTCCGTCATCAAGGGGGCTGGAGAGCCTCCAGCCCAAGAAGGGGCTTCAAGAGGCAATGGCTCACCCTGACACAGAACAGGACTCCGGTGCGGTCACGGCCAGCCAAAGCCAGGTGAGCACACGGGCCGCGTTTTCAGGCCAGCTTTGCTGTTCGTGAGACTGGGTGCGAATTACAGATCTACAGGGAAACCCGGCCGGGTCATTTACCCCCTCCAAGCCTCAGTTTCCACACTTGTAAATGATCCATCCGGCCCAACTCAGAGGATGTCAGGAGGGCTAAACATGGAAAGATCTAGCACACGGCTTGGCACCAGGAGAAGTGCCCACACATCTTCTCCATCTCCAGCCAATGAGGGTTGCCCGTGGGCTTGGCTTAGCAGTGGGGATTCTTGGGGAGTCAGCAGAGCTCCCAAGCCGAGGGGTGCAGGTGGGTGGGCTATTAGCTGTCTCCTCCCTGAACCCCAGAAGAGGTAGGCCAGCCACTTTCCTGATGCCTGAGTCAGAGAACAGTGCGGGACTGAGGGGGGTGGCCAGCCTCCCCTGCCCATCCCCTCCCCTCTGTGCAGCTTAGCCCTCTGGACTGAGCCTCTGTTTCTATATCTGCAGAATGAAGGTAATAACCCCTCTCTGCCTTCCTCTGGAACCATCCATCCGTGGGGCCAGCCAGCCAGCCAGTTCACCCTGTGTCTGACCCCTAGGGCTCCCAAGATAGTGGGTCACAGCAATCGATAGAGAGGAGGGTTAGGGCTCTGGTGGGGAGAAGCCATGGGTCTATGGGAGCCCAAGGAGCCCCAGCCCTAAGCGCAAAGCTGGGATTTCGGCAAGGGGCTGAGGGAGGGGTGCGCTCCAGAGCCCTCAGAGTCAAAGCCAGGAGGCTGAGAGGCCTGGACTGTTACCGAAAGGTGCGCAAGTCCCAGACCAGACTGCCGTCCCCTCCTGTGGTCCCTGCCTCCCCGATCAGGTGTCTTTGGCTCTGGGCAGCCTTCCCGGAGCCCCGCCCAGCTGAGTGCAGTATCCCCTCCGAATCCTATCAAGTTCAAAGGTTCCAGGCCCCCTCCCTCTGCCCGCGGTGGAGCTCCTCACATCAGAACCAACGGCCCTGTTCATCCCCCCTTCATGTGTCTGGGCCCCTTGCATTTGATCTTGAACTTGCTGTCTCTAAAGAAGGGACGTCCATTTCCCCACTCCCCCAATCCAAACTCAGCCACCTGACTCGTTTTGGCCGATGAGCTGTTTGTTAGCAAGCGTGACGCGGCCGAGGCTCGAGAAACACCTGCGGTGTTCGGCTTCTTAGAGGCAGAGGGCTGGAGAGAGCCTCGCTCCCACCTGTATGACGGGACAACAGCGAACTCGTTACTTTTCTTCAATCCATCAGAGAACGCAGCGCACCACACGCAACCCGCCAAAAGCCTGGGGGCGGCAGGTGCCTGCAGGGAGCAGCACGGCCCAGGCATTTGCTTGTCACCCCCAAACACCAGAGAAGCCAGTAAGAGGATTCAGCTGGAAAATTTTAACAAATTGCTGAAGGCGAGCCTGAGGGTGTGAAGGCTCTGGGGGCTGCTGGCCTAGGGGTGTCTGCATCCTTCTGGAACGCCACCAGGAGCCCGCAGAAGCCAGGGAGAATTCAGAGAACGCTTCTCCCCTCCTGTTTCCCCAGTGACGCAGGCTGCGAGGAGAGGGGAGCAGCCGAGGCTGAAACTCTGCCGGAAGCCATCTCCCCCCTCTCAGAGGGAGCAGGAATGGTAACTTCTAGAAGGAAGACAAAGCTGTGGCCCGAGGGCGCTAATTGGTACCCAGTGCTGGTGAGGGAGCAGAACTGGAAAATAAAAGGCCCTGTTCCCGGGGAAGAGACAGAAACACGTGCTAAGCTAGCAGTACATCTGCAGGAAGGGCCGAGTGTCAGAATCAACGTTTTCAAACTTCTAGAAATGAACCAAGTATTTATACAGGAACCCAAGGAGCATTTATTCAAGAAAAGCAGCTGGATTTTAGGGGGGTGGGGGGAAGCAGGCTGTGTGAGATTTTATCTTGTTCTAGTGCAATCAGCCATTCTCCAACTCCACGATCGCTTAGAAAAATAGTGGCTTCCACTCTCCATGCCCAGTGGCTGAAAGCCTCACTCCCAGAGTCGTCCGCGTTGATTGGCCCAGTGATTCCCCAGAAGACCCCATCTGCAAGACTGTCTGTATTCAAACTGACTCAGAGATTGCTCAGGTGCAAAAAAATCTCCCTCCCCCCCACCCCCAGTAGAGGGCACGTTTGTCAAAAACAATTACAAGCAAGTATTTTAACTTTGTGGCTACTTGAGGGAGTAGATAACAGCTGGGCCAGCCAATTCTTAAAAATGTAAAAGGAAGAGTCTGGGAATAAAATGTTCATAGAGACTTGGAAACGTTCCTAAGATTTTCCTGGGCACCTAGAAGGCCAAGTATGCACACGGGGCTGGCACGTGTGTTGGGACGTGCACATGCTCAGAAAAGATGTGAGAAGGACCTAAGTTCTCACCTTTGAGTGACCTGAAGGCCCTGCACTAGCAGGAAATAAAAGCTAAGGCAGAGTTTTCAGCTCCCTGGCTGAGTGTTGAGGACGTAACTCCGCATACATGCAGAGCTTATCAGCAAAGACCGGGAGAGTCATTGTCTCCAAGTGTTTGAGAGAATCTCTGTCCAGTCTTTAGCTGACCAACCGCTGAGCTAACTGAGAAGAGACTTCAGTGGCCACACAGGAACAAAGAATATAGACGTCACAGAATTAGTTCAGAAAAGTAACTATACAAACAGCAACTACAAGCAACAACAAACCTTTGGAGGGGGCTAAATCCAATTTCCGAAGCTGCCACAGTATGTTATTTAAAATGTCCAGTATTTTACAACAAATTCCAAAACATAAAAAGAAATAAGAAAGTATGGCCCAGGGGCGCCTGGGTGGCTCAGTCGGTTAAGTGTCCGACTTCAGCTCAGGTCATGGTCTCGCGGTTCATGAGTTCAAGACCCGCATTGGGCTCTGTGCTGACAGCTCAGAGCCTGGAGCCTGCTTCGGATTTTGTGTCTCCTTCTCTCTCTGCTCCTCCCCTGCTTGTGCTCTGTCTCTCTCTCACACAAAAATAAAATAAACATTAAAAAAAAAAAAGTATGGCCCATACACAGGGGGCAA